TGAGCGAAGAAAAAAAACCTAAAAAAAACGCTCTTGTGCGCTGATGTGGTTCAGTTTCTGTCGGACTAAAGGACACAACTCAGTGGAATATGAGTGTTTTTTCTGTGACAGAGGGGTGTTGATGCTGAAGGTGAGTCTGTTCTGTGTGTCGCGATGTTTTCAAAGATCATACGTGTGCAGGTTTAGAGCAGCTCTTTATGTTGCAGTAACCGGGATCCTGCGTAAACATGCACCATGACGAAACCGGGATACAGATGTGCATGTAAACACACTCACTGAGAGGTACAGTGTCTCCAAGGAAGTGCCAAAGCCTAAACGTGAGACTGTGAGTCCGCAACTCCAGTGTTTGTGTCAGACGCAGCTTCATATCTACACACTGAAACCTACATTCGGTTTGTCGATTAGAAATGAACGTAAACGACTAATCATGCCCATCCCTAATTTGGAGTGAGATGGAGAGTTGGTAAACTTATGTTCAGTGTTGGGGAGTAACAGATTAAATGTACAAATGTTAAGTAATCAGAGTACAAATTATGAGTAACTGTATTCAGTTACAGTTACTCTTTCAGTGAGTGGTAATTGGATTACAGTTACTTCGTTGAAATAAATGGATTACATGGTGGTATTTTCCTGTTTTCACATTTTGGGCTATATAACTTTTTTTTTTTTTTCCTAAACCAGGACTAAAACCAGGACTAAAACCAGGACTAAAAACCAGGACTAAACCAGGACTAAAAACCAGGACTAAACCAGGACTAAACCAGGACTAAACCAGGACTAAACCAGGACTAAAACCAGGACTAAAACCAGGACTAAAACCAGGACTAAACCAGGACTAAACCAGGACTAAGGACTAAAACCAGGACTAAAACCAGGACTAAAACCAGGACTAAACCAGGCAGGACTAAACCAGGACTAAAACCAGGACTAAACCAGGACTAAACCAGGACTAAAACCAGGACTAAAACCAGGACTAAAACCAGGACTAAACCAGGACTAAAACCAGGACTAAAACCAGGACTAAAACCAGGACTAAAACCAGGACTAAACCAGGACTAAACCAGGACTAAACCAGGACTAAAACCAGGACTAAACCAGGACTAAACCAGGACTAAACCAGGACTAAAACCAGGACTAAAACCAGGACTAAAACCAGGACTAAACCAGGACTAAACCAGGACTAAAACCAGGACTAAAACCAGGACTAAAACCAGGACTAAACCAGGACTAAACCAGGACTAAACCAGGACTAAACCAGGACTAAAACCAGGACTAAAACCAGGACTAAACCAGGACTTAAACCAGGACTAAACCAGGACTAAAACCAGGACTAAACCAGGTCTAAACAGTATGAGACCTAACAGTAGGTGGACATACTTTAAGGCAGCAGTGATCTCATATATACGGTTAAGGAAAGTCTGGGCTTTTTATTTTCTTTTAGCAGACAAAACTTCTTATGTTAAGATTCTAGTCTTTGCTTCTCTACAGTAAACAACTGTATGGAGACTTGGGCTCAGCCAGTTTGAAGAAAACAAACATGAATTTTCAGTATGTGGTTGTTACATTCATGTAGTTTTAAAAAGCAAGACAATATCAAGTAATCCAAAGTATTCAGATTACATTGTGTCTTTTATTTATTTTTATGTGTTTTTATTGGTTTTACTGATTTAATTTATTTATTGGTTTATTTATTTCTATTCTATGATATAGTTTTATTTTTATTTTACTGGTTTTATATTATTTTACTAGTTTTATTACTTTAAGACTAGTATTATTTTAGTAATTTACTTTATCATCTTATTGTTGTTATTTTTTATGTATTTGTGCAGCACTTTGGAAACAGTTTGTTTGTGAAATGTGCTATAGAAATAAAGTGGATTGGATTGGATTGGACATTACTCACTTTAATTATCTTAATGGATTATGTTACAAACTACATTTTGAGGTATGTAATCTGTAATCTGTAGGGGAATACATTTTAAAAGTAACCTTCCCAACAGTGCTTCTATTGTTTATGCTATAATTATCTGAATAACTGTTAATATGTGACGTTAACATATTAACGCCTGTTCAGTCTGTTGTTCTCTGTTCTCTTGTTATTACTACAACTTGCCTTTCGAGATGAAATGTTTGTTCCTGGTCTCTGATTTTATAAAATACATTTCCCCCAAAAAGTGCGACTTATACTCTGGAGCAATTTATAGTCTGAAAAATACGGTACTAACTCTTGTATACGCTCATGGAACCTACCTGGACCACAGAGGGATTACACAAATATAAGACCACGTGCAAATATAAAAGTAAGTACTAAATTTAATGCTGAAAATCACGTCCTGTTGATTGACTAGATTAGCCCTGCGGTTGAAACGATGACCCCGCCACACCTAATCCCACATTCTTGCCTTAAAGGTGGTCTAGACGTTCAGACACATTCCCCCTGCCCTTTTATGTCTGCAGATGACTGAAGGGGTCAGAGGTCACACAAGTCTGAAGGAGGGTCTATTTGCCTGTCTGTCAGAGGAGAGGTGCCGCAGTCACTGAGCACTTCACCGAATATTTTGGCCCATATATTACATTTTATTTGCCCGTGTGGCCTGTTTAATTGGCATAATGAGGTTACATATTATTATTAGTCGTGTAGATCAGTGGTCCCCAACATTTTTTGCTCCACGGATCCGGTTTTATATCCGACAATATTTCGCGGACCAGAGGGGGCAGAGGGAGGGTGACATATGGGAGGAGGCGCAGTGCGTGGTCTGTGCAGCAAGGTTAGACTGGTTTAGACCTGGTTTTAGACCTGGTTTAGACCTGTTTCTGAGTCCTGTTTTAGACCTGTTTTAGACCTGGTTTTAGTCCTGGTTTTAGTCCTGGTTTAGTCCTGGTTTAGACCTGTTTAGACCTTAATTTAATAAACCAGGACTAAACCAGGACTCCTGTTTTAGTCTTGGTTTAGACCTGTTTAGTCCTGGTTTAGACCTGTTTTATTCCTGGTTTAGACCTGGTTTAGACCTGTTTGAGTCCTGTTTTAGACCCTGTTTTAGACCTGTTTTAGACCTGGTTTAGTCCTGGTTTAGTCCTGGTTTAAACCTGGTTTAGACCTGTTTTAGTCCTGGTTTAGACCTGTTTTAGTCTTGGTTTAGACCTGTTTTAAACCCGGTTTTAGACCCAGTTTAGTCCTGGTTTAAACCTGGTTTAGACCTGTTTTAGTCTTGGTTTAGACCTGTTTTAAACCCGGTTTTAGACCCATTTTAGTCCTGTTTTAAACCTGTTTTAGACCTGTTTTAGACCCGTTTTAGACCCGTTTTAGACCCGGTTTTAGTCCTGGTTTAGACCGATTTTAGTCCTGGTTTAGACCGATTTTAGTCCTGTTTTAGACCTGGTTTAGACCTGTTTTAGACCTGGTTTTAGTCCTGGTTTAGACCTATTTTAGTCCTGTTTTAGACCTTGTTTAGTCCTGGTTTTAGTTCTGGTTTAAAGGCACACGGGAGTAGGAGACCACTTAAGTTCTCTGTACATTCTATACAGAGGAATCACATTTATTCTATACCTGTCTGTCTGTCTGCAGCGGTAGGTGGTTTGCTCAAAGCTCCAGCTCACTGCCGTCAAAAGCTCTTTAAGTCTTTGGTGAAGGTTCATTCTGTCATCCTTTATTTATGTTGAAAAGCACAAACTCTTTTTTGCCACACAGGAGTGTTTGTTTACCTCCGCTTTACTGTAGCTTTGCTCAGATTCGCCCTGTGACGGTTTGTGCTGCTTACATGGTCAATAGGGAAAGCGTAGGTGTGGGCTCCCTCGTCTCGATCTATGCTCAATAAATTAAGCATAGAGCTGAGAGATTCTGAGATAAAACTGCGCAAACATGCCAAAACTAAAAGACTGTAACAAGATAGCAGTTTTAATCCTTTAGGTGCCAGAATTTTTTTCCTAAAACTTTCGATTTTGACATCTTTGTCCTAGTTAAGTCCTGGTTTAATCCTGGTTAAGTACAATTTTCATCCTGTTTTTTTTCCTGGTTTAGTCCTGGTTCAGACCTGCTTAAGACCTGGTTTAGCTTGAATAAAATTCATCCTATTTGACAAAAAGAGCCATTTTATTCAGAGCAGCATCTTGTAAACTGAAGTCGACAGTGGCACCTAGAGGGTTAATTAAAGTTCATTTTGGTTAAAATTATAATTTTTGCAATGGACTGTAAATGGAAAAGGAAAAACTTGAATCCAACTTGTTCCGTTTCTTCACAATTTTCCTCCAGTTCAATCGATGTGAACTTAAAATTTTATTAATTACTTTCATTGATTTTTTTTTGTGCCTAGTTCTAGTTTAGTATCTTATTAGAAATTACAGATGATCAAGACACAATCCCCTCACTAGATGTTTACATGAATCTGTTCAAAACCTGGTCAAAACCTGGTCAAAACCTGGTCAAAACCTGGTCAGAACCTGGTCAGAATTTGGTTAGAACCTGGTCAGAACATGGTTAAAACATGGTCAGAACCTGGTCAGAATTTGGTCAGAACCTCGTCAGAACCTGGTCAAAATCTGGTCAAAACCTGTTCAGAACCTGGTCAAAACCTGTTCAGAACCTGGTCAAAACCTGGTCAAAACCTGGTCTGAATCTGGTCAAAATCTGGTCAAAACCTGGTCAGAAACTGGTCAGAAACTGGTCAAAACCTGGCTAAAACCTGGTCAAAACCTGGTGAGAACCTGGTGAGAACCTGGTCAGAACCTGATCAGAACCTGGCTAAAACCTGGTCAAAACCTGGTCAGAACCTGGTCAGAACCTGGTCAGAACCTTGTCAAAACTTGCTCAAAACCTGCGCAAAATCTGGTCAAAACCTGGTCAAAACCTCGTCAGAACTTGGTCACAACCTGGTCAAAACCTCGTCAGAACCGTGTCACAACCTGGTCAAAACCTCGTCAGAACCGTGTCAAAACCTGGTCAAAACTTGGCCAAAACCTGGTCAGAATCATGTCAAAACCTGGTCAGAACGTGGTCACCTCACCTGTCCGTCAGTGGAGATGGTCCCCCCACAGTCGCTGAGCAGTTCGGACATGTCGTAGTAGCTGCTGAACTCCCACAGACAGGCCTCCAGGTTGAGGTTCCTGTAGAAGCGGAGCGTGCCGGCCCCCCGCAGTGCCGGGCTGTACTGGTAGGGGGCGGTCTCTCCGATCACCTCCGAGTTCTTGGTGGCCGGGGTGAGGAAGCCGTGCCGTGTGGTGACCTCGGTGTGGTCCAGGAGGTTGGAGCAGCGATGGTTCCCCACTCTGGTCCCGTCCGGACTCAGGGTCAGTTCGAAGTTGGACAGAGGCCGAGTGGAAACGACAGGCAGCATTCCTGACACGAGGAGATCAGGAAAGACATAATATTAGGAATGTCTCATCTTTTATCTATTAGCAACCTGGATTTATGGTCTTAGAAACTGAATTTTAACATATTCTTCTGGTACTTTGTTAATAAATAATAAAATAATAAACTATTTTACTGTAATATTGTGCTACCTGACTCTTATTTGACCTGGAGGAGGGTTTCATCCATAGAAATGTTGGTCCTTTGACTATAATCTTGTATGTTTGTTTTTAACTTTATTTCTGTGAAATCATGCAGGTGAAGCACCACGTCCAGAAAGTTGCGTAATGTACCTTTAAGTCATCAGTCAATTTATAATATTAATATTTGGCGATAATATAAAATGATAATAAAAATACACCTTCACTGGAATCTTTTGGATAATTTCAGCCCTGGAATAGAAAACTGTTAAGTTGAAAGCTACCGCTACATGACATCATACAGACTAATAATGCTGGATTACGCAAACATGTGTGAATGAAACAAAACACAACTCCAGGTCTGTTTTTGAGGAGGTAATAACATTATGACATGACGCGTCAGGCGTCGAGTTTACATGCAAGGTCTATGTGGATGTGTGTCTAGGGCATCCTGCATGTTTGCAGTGCATCTTCAGTGCATCTTGAATGTTCAGGCATTGATCCAACGTCAGAAGTTAAAAAAGCTGAGCTTGTGGTGTCGGACGCGCCACATCAACCAATCAGGGACCACTATCCAGTGACGTAGCGATGTCATTTTCCGGAAAAGAAGAAAAAAAGAAAGAGAAAGATCCGAGAGCCAGAAGCATCATAACAAGAAATCTATGCCATGTCATTAGAGGAGTATAAATATATATATGCCACAGCCGCCGAGACGATCGCCTCCACTGAGGGGTTTTATGTAATAAGTACATTTTCTCTTAACCTGGTCTGCCATTATTCACAAAAAGGCCGGGGAAACAAGGCACTCGCCAACTGCAATGGACGCTCTGGGCGCACATAAAGTATTTTTCTTCTGTTTGTCCACAGAGTTCATGATGCGTGTCGGGTCATCTGAACTCAAATGCAAAGGCTCCAACGAGAAGCATCCAGCGTGTTTTTCGGGGCCTGAACACAGCTTCAAACCTAACAAGAGTCAATTTTGTGTAATATAGGATTTAACTATTTAAAATTTATAATCCTGAATCTCGTCTCCTTATTTATCTGTCTGTGTATCACTTTTACATTTTTAATACTCGTGGTTCCTCCTTCGGTTCATGAGTCTGTACGGAGCAGACTGTTTTTCATTTCACAAGGTCAACCAGGAGGTGCACTCCGAGGACGCACCCAGGGAGAGTTTTCTCCTGAGGTAAATCCGGTCTGAGCCAGTCCGTTTGTCAATAATTCATTGAACTTTGACATAAATCTGTAGTATTCGTCTCTTCTTACCATCGATGTGAGGCATGGTGACGGTGAGTTTGATGAGGTTGGGGTGCTCTGGGTCCTCTGCTCCCGTGTACCTGAGGCGGGCGGAGAAGGGTTCAGCGCCCACAGCTCCGGGCACCCTCGACTGGCACATCCCTGCACGACACACACACATAAACACATAAACACGGGTTACGCAATATAACCTGGCATGATGCTGCTTTGACTAAATAAAATGATGCGTGGGGGGAAAAAAAAGGGTAGAAAAATAATGAAAAAGTAGCGGTAATTGAATGAGAAGTGTGAGCAGAGCGGGTGAACATATGGCAAACATGTTCCACTGCCAAAATTAAAAGTTTAGATCAAAACACTTTCAGTCGTCCATCTGTTCCCTGTGCTGGAGTTTACTGTACAAACCGGGCTGAACTATGCCTATGAAACAGAAGGTGCTAAAAAGAATACTTATGCGGGAACTTCTAATAAAAAAAGTAGTATTAAAGTTGCACTGTGTAACTTTTCTGGTGGAGGGACCGACATTAAACGGCTCTACCTTACGTTTATTCAGTTACAGGTGGTTTTAAAGCTCAAAAATATCTAGAAAACAGGCGTTCTGACTGTGAGCGGGGTCGCCTCTCCACAGATCTGACCTGTAACTTGATCTGGTTTGGTCTCCATAGCGATAAAAAAGTGTAATACCACTTTTTGAAACATTCCAGGCAAAGCAATAGCATCTCCATCAGTAATGAAAATCTGAAATCATCCAAATGATTCGAGTGAAGGTGTTGGGGGTTTAAAAACATAGTGGAGCACTTCCTGTATTACCACATGACATCACAAGTTGGAACTAGTGTTTTCCATTTGAGGAAAAAGTCAGCCTAAATATGTAAGGTTCGTGTTTGTAAACGTGTGAATGAAACAAAACAAAACTCCAGGTCTGTTTGTGATGAGGAAACAACTTTAAAACAGATCAGAAAATAGTGTACCGTATTTTTCGAACTAGAAGTCGCACTTTTATTCATAGTTTAGGCGATCCTGTGACTTATACTCCGGTGCGACTTATATTGTCAGTATATATTACAGTATCTGCTGCTCCTATTATTCCTGTACCACTGTCACTTCGCTCTACTGCGCATGTCTCCTGCAGAAAGAGCCTCTGTCCTGTCTGTATCATGTCAGTCGATCGCACCATTACTTCTGTACCACTGAACAATTTAACATTTAAACAAACTTATAAAGACGACTGAGAAGACTGAGCACAAATGCCTCCAAAAAGAAAATCATATTTTGCAAATTACAAGCTGCAAGTCGTGAAATCTGCAGCTGAAAACTGTAATCGAGCAGCAGAAAGAAAGTTTGGAGTGAGAGAGAAACTTGTGACATCAGGAGGATGCATCATGTAACTTTTTTGGAAGTCACTGGATCGACAAAGCCTGGACTTCGGTGACACCGAAACCATCCTGTCGGGATTCAGAAAAGCTGAAATAATTCTAACTGGAACTGATGCTGAGTCTGACGACAGCTACACAGAAGAGGAAGCGGCGCTCTGTTTACCTCCGGAGGTCGCGGAGTTGCTCAGAAGTGACACCGAGGATGAAGAATTGAATGGATTTAGTGATCTGGAGTGAGATGGAGAGTTTGTTAAGCTTGTTCTGTTCTGTTGTTTATGTTATAGTTTATCTGAAGAACTGTTCATATGTGACGTTAACAGTCTGTTGTTCTCTATTCTCTTACTAGAACTTGCCTTTCAAGATGAAGTGTTGGTTCCTGGTCTCTGATTGTATAAAATAAATTTCCCCAAAAAAGTGCAACTTATATATGTTTTTTTCTTCTTCATTACTCATTTTTTGGCTGGTGCGACTTATACTCTGGAGCAAAAAAATTAGGTTCGAAAAAATACACTAATATGGGTCCTTTATACTTTAATACTACACTTAAAATTGCGTAACATCACCAACAAGCTCACTCTTCCTCACCTTCCTGCAGGCTGATGGTGACGATGGGACTGCTCAGCTCCAGCCCCTCCTCCCCGTCCCCGTTCACCGCCCTGGCCGCGCACTGGACCCTGGAGCCCGCCTGGAAGTACACCGAGTCCAGGGTGATGAGCTTGGAGGAGGTGAAGAACGTGTTGAAGTCCACCTCCCTCATGGGGCTGGTGACGCCGTCCGGTCCGGTGGGGGCGCTCACGAGCCAGCGGTACCGGGTCAGGGTGTTGTTGATGCTTTCGCTGACGCAGATGGAGCCGGTTTTGTCGTAGTCGGGGTATTTGGGGTTACAGGCCTGCACCAAAAAAGAGAAAGGAACATTTAAAAAGCCTTCGTCAGATCGTTTTTCTTGCTTTGGATGGAAGTAAACCCCATTTCCTAACGTACGACCATTGTGTCATGACCAGTGTTGGGGAGTAACAGATTACATGTACTGGAGTTAAGTAATCAGAGTACAAATTATGAGTAACTGTATTCGGTTACAGTTACTGTTTCAGTGAGTGGTAATTGGATTACAGTTACTTTGTTGAAATAAATGGATTACACTGCGGTATTTTCCTGTTTTCACATTTTGGGCTATATAACTTTTTTTTTTCTTTTTTTTTTTGTAATTCCACTCATTGCCGAACACTAAACCAGGACTAAAACCAGGTCTAAACCAGGACTAAAACCAGGTCTAAACCAGGACTAAAACCAGGTCTAAACCAGGACTAAAACCAGTTCAAAACTAGATCTAAACCAGGACTAAATCCAGGTCTAAACCAGGGCTAAAACCAGGTCTAAACTAGATCTAAACCAGGTCTAAACCAGGACTAAACCAGGTCAAAACCAGGACTAAAACCAGGTCTAAACCAGGGCTAAAACCAGGTCTAAACCAGGACTAAAACCAGGTCTAAACCAGGACTAAAACCAGGTCTAAACCAGGGCTAAAACCAGTTCAAAACTAGATCTAAACCAGGACTAAATCCAGGTCTAAACCAGGGCTAAAACCAGGTCTAAACTAGATCTAAACCAGGTCTAAACTAGATTTAAACCAGGTCTAAACCAGAGCTAAAACCAGGTCTAAACTAGATTTAAACCAGGTCTAAACCAGGACTAAACCAGGACTAAAACCAGGTCTAAACCAGGACTTAAACCAGGTCTAAACTAGATCTAAACCAGGTCTAAATCATGACTAAAACCAAGTCTAAACCAGGACTAAACCAGGTCAAAACTAGACCTAAACCAAGTCTAAAACAGAACTAAACCAGGATTTAACAGGACTAAACCAGGATTTAACAGGACTAAACCAGGATTTAACAGGATTAAACCATGCTGCGCAGACCGTGTCTCAATATCAATAATATTTTTAATACGGTTCAGTAAAGTCTGGGCTTTTTATTTTCTTTTATCAGACAAAACATCTCATGTGAAGATTTCCTCGTCTTTGCTTCTCTACAGCAAATCAAGTAATCCAAAGTATTCAGATTACGTTACTCACTTTAAGTAATTTAATGGATTTACGTTACAAACTACATTTTGGGTGTGTGTAATCTGTAATCTGTAGGGGAACACATTTTATAAGTAACCTTCCCAACACTGGTCATGAAGCAAGACACTTCACCAGCCTGATTTGTGTGTGAAAAATGCATGAGAAAAGTTGTTGGTAACTTGGAGAGGCCAAAGGTGCAGATTGGAAGCCACACTTGAGTGAGTCTGCCCCAGAGCTCCCCGTCTCCAGGTGCAGAGAGACACTGAATAATGCATGAAATCTAAAGCACAAACACAGAGAATATTTTAATTACAGTTTAATTAGAGCTGCTGGTTCAGTCGACAGCTGCTGGTGCATAACACTGTGACGCGCGACGTACGAATCTGATTTTCACATTTCACATCCTCTCCATTGTAAGAAAAGACATTAAAAGTGATAAACAGGGAGCTGAAATAAGGCCACTTTTTATTGTCTATATAAATCTGGGTATATATAATTGTTTTTAGTTTATATTTATTTAGTATTTTTTATTTATTTGATGCTCTTTCGCTGTAAGTATCGTCATTTTGGTCTTAAAATGTTCATATTAACCTTCTCTACATGATCCCGGTGTTTTTATTTCACTATTTTATATTTTTACATTACAAATTTTGAGATGCAACAGGTTTTTTACGTCATATGTGGCAGCAAATGTTGTAGGAGACCTTCCAGAAGAAACACTTTGAGGGAAACACCAGAGCGGAGTAAGAGCGAGGCCTTTCCTTTTGTGTGTTATTCGGTTCTTTTTTCAGACCAAGAGTTTGTTTTCATACCTGACAGTTTCGACTGCTCACTAGTGGTTACGTGTCCGGAAAGCTGATTTATTCTGGTTTTGGCGCTGTCTTCCTACAGGTGGAGGCAGGACGACGGCGCCATCTGCAGTCCAACTTCTTCAAGACAGTAATCTCAGGTGTGTGAGAGTAAAAAAGACCCCTCTTCCCGGTTTATAGTCCCGTTTTTACTCTCACTCAGCGCCAAAAACCTGTATAAATCAGCTGACCGGACACGTGACCACTCTGAGGAAGACCGCCAGTCAGCAGTCGAAACTGTCAGGTATGAAAACAAACTCTTGGTCTGAAAAAAGAACCTAATAACATAAATTAATCGGAAGACCAAGTAAACCTCATTGAACCTTTCCTGTTGTGTTCACCTGGCTCCCCCTGGACACTGCTGTGACGCTGCAGGACACAGACGGGAGACACTTTTAGCCAGGGGTCATCAAACTAAGTGACTCCAACTCCGGTCAGCCACGCCCTTTTGACCCCTCTGCCCCACCACTTGAACTGACCCTATGAGACAATCCTCAAAAGTTGTCATGGCCTATTTTTAATTACTTTTTGGCAAATAATAACACATCTGCACCTTGTATTTTGTTGATTTTTTCAGTATAAAAAAATATATTTATTTGAAGTATTTATATTTAAATACCTTATTTTCCGCACTATACGGCGCGCTCAAAAGCCTCCAACTCCATTAAAAAAATGACAGCGCGCCCCGCAATCCAGAGCGCCCTATACACGAATCCACTCGGGAGTCCCAGCACGACTTCAGTAAACTACAAAGCCACACCACCCGCAGACAGTGTTGGGGAGTAACAGATTACATGTACCGCCGTTATGTAATCAGAGTACAAATTATGAGTAACTGTATTCCGTTACAGTTTCAATGAGTGGTAATTGGATTACAGTTACTTTGCTGTAATAAGTGGATTACAAGGCGGTATTTTCCTGTTTTCACATTTTGTGCTACATCCCATTTATTTATTTTTTTATTTCGGTAATTTCACTCATTGCCTGGAACCCAAACAGAACGCGCGCAATAAGAGCGATGTAAACGTCATGTTAAAGTTGGCGGTGTCAGTCACACAGTGGAAGCAGCAGTGCATTGGTAAAAACGCATTTGTGTCTTGGAAATTCTTCTCCCGATGTGAGATAAATATAAAAAAACAAATATAAAATCGCCTACAACTTAAATGTGAAACAGGAGCTACTGGCACTGGTGAAAACAACCTGCATAGACTCATAATATCTGCACTACTGTCATATATACACAACACACACACACAAACACACACACACACACAAACACACACACACACACAACACACAACACACACACAAACACACACACACACAACACACACACACACACACACACACAACACACACAACACAACACACACAACACACACACACACAACACACACAACACACACAAACACACACACACACACACAACACACACACACACACAACACACACACACACACACACACACACACA